GGCTTTACCAGACTGGCAGTCGTTATATGTATTTGCCGAAGATTCCTCGACACCGTTCTTTGACTGAGCTCAGGCGCCAAGCTGTGAAGCGGGAGATGTCGTGGAGTTTGACAAAGGAACATGAGAGCGTTCACTGCGGCTATATTACTCATCAGGCAGTTCCTGGTTCGAGTCGAGATCACATTGTTGGACTACATCCTGGAGTACTGGGGCTAGATACTCCGCCTCGCAATGAGTTCCTCACCACTGCTTCTACTTTGAGGAATCGCCTCGCTATCTTAGGACGGGAGATGCCTGCACCGCGCCACAGATTCTATGGTTGGGTCCATTCTTTGGACAGGTTTTGGTGGGCTCGTATGACGAAGTATGTCTTGAGCCGATGGAGCGAGGAGTTACATGCTTGCGGTCTTTATGCAGCCATTCGGGCCACTATGCATGGCTTGCCTACAAGCGCGAAGCATTTCTTTGCCCTATGCGAGCTTTACAATCCAGATTCCAACACTTTTCTGACCAGGCACGGAGAGTTGGGCTTGGCTCTACATGAGATGCACAAGATTTCTGGTTTGCCCATGGGACAGATGTTATACCAGGAGTACTTTCCCTCCAACCATGAGTTGAGTCAGCTGAAGGATCGCATGCCCGACCGCTACGAGACCTTATGGGACCTCACTTGTCATTATCACATTGCTTTGGCGCAGTCTAAGCCCCTAGCGAAGAGGACCAAAGCAAATGTGAGCCTGAAGCAGTTCGCATCATACTTGTTCAGGAATCTGGAGAGCCATTCTGGCCAATCTATTTGTGAACTGGCACCGCTGACTCCTTCAGAGGTTAATGAGCTGCTGAATAAGACTAACGCCCAATCCTATACCATTAGCAGTTCCGAGAGCGGCTTTCCTGCAGGGACTAAATTCAGATCGTTCTTATATCATGCGACCACACCGATTCGTCCGATGACTCTCCTTGCCGGTTATCTCGCCATCTGGTTGAAGAAATGTGTGGTCCCGTATCAGTCTGGTGACGCTCTGCCACTGGAAGTGCTCTATCCTGCAGTTCAGCTTGCCTACAAGAAGGAACTTTCGCTTCTTCCGGTGATGGTTGCTAACATTCATCGAGGGCTTCGGCAGATTTCTGGTGCTTTTACACGGAGAGATGATGATAAACCGACTCAGATTCCTACCATTAAGGTAGAGCTCCCGTATATTTATTTGATGGCTTGGTTCGTTCTTCATCGTTCCGATGTGATGTCAGTACCGAATGCCATAGACCAGTCTGTCCCCTTTCTACAGTTGCTTGAGAATGGTGAGTGGGAGGGCCGAGGATTCCCCGATATCAGGCGTCAGCTACAAGTCCACAAGTGCTGGGCATTCTCCACTTGCTTTCCACAGTTCTCCAGCCGGTACGGCGAGTGTTTGATTGATGAGGAGAAGCCGAGGGAGTATAGGACTTATCTGGATATGGGCTGCTTTAATTGGCTAGTGAACATTAGGCCGGGTTACCTGACTTTCCGGGTGGGGAATCAGTGCTTCATAGAGCCGTATCTACCTTGCCGATTCGCCCGCCAGTTCGGTTATGACCAGCTTTATGTAGGGAACCCGCGCCAGCAGCTTCGGGCTCATGGAGGTCTGGTGGACGGTCTTCGTGCATGGTTGTGGACCGTGACTGGTTGCACTGGAGCTAGGTTCAGTCTCCCAGGTACTGAGCGACAGTTGAACCTCACTTTCCTGAGCTGCAAGTGGTTGCTAGCAGCTAATAAGACTGTCCGTGTGAAGCCTATCGAAGAGTTGGTGACCGAAGAAGCCTCTCAACTTGATTCTCGTGTTATCCAGGACGGTGCTCGATCACAGAGGGCTCAGGGCAAGACCCGCCGACTTGATGCAGAAGGTCACAGGGCCTTTAGTTCTGCTGGAGAGGCCTCAGGCGGAGACCCTGAAGACTACGAGGCAGATTTGGAGCAAGGTTAGTCACCTATCTTTCTTTTTTCTTGCATTTTCAAATTGCTATTTCTGACCACTATTCGATGTTTCAGGGACAGCGATCAACAGTGACGACGAATTCCGTCCTTTTACCCGGGCCAGACCTTCGATTGCTGTCCGTGCTGATAGGCGGAAAAGATTAGCCCACAAGCCGCATGCAAATTCACGAGCATCTGAGATGGACTTGGCTGATGAGGATCCTGTTAGTGACGGAGGTAACGTCTATTCTATAGATCATTTTCTTGATCGTTTAGAACTTCTGGCTCATGCTTTCCCATCCTATGCAGGATATCGTGAGGAAGGCGAGATGAGTCCTGATGATTGTGCATCTCCTGGTGAGCCTGACTCACCGCCCCAGGTAGAAAAGCCTGCAGAGACCGCCCATGTTGGGGAGTCTGTCAATGAAGGACCCAGTTCGGTGATTCCAGGTACATCTTCAAGAGGTAACTTGTCTCTATTGGCCATAGTTTCCTTCCTCCTCCTTCATACTTATATCTTTTTATGTCAGATTTTTCGATTGATGACTTCGATGGGGAGGGCCTGCCTATGGACACTTCTATGTTCAGCTTCATGTATGACTCTCCTCAGATCGATGGCCAGCCGCCTCAGGATATGTTTCCTGAGTCTGTACTCCCTCAGACTCCCGGGAACGGTTATTTTGAAGGTGCGTGCCTCTTCTCAAGCTAACTATAGGACTAGCCAATTCCTTGACTAATGCAACTATAAAATGATGTTTCTGTCTTGTGTCTAACAGGAGCTTTCGCTGAGGCTGACCCTGTTGAGCCGGCTGTGCGACCAACTCCACCAGTCGATGCTGCTACAGTCGTTACATCTCCATCACCCCCAGTGACTCGAGGGGAAGGAGGTATAATTTAATTAACCGAGTAATGCCATTCATTTCCTCATTGAGGCTTTTGACGAATTGCTCTTCTTTGTGTAGGGCTTCCTTCTCAGCTTCATGTCCTCGTTAAAGAGCTGTTATCGGGCAATGACCCTGAGAAGATCTTCATCAGCGTAGAAGTCCGCTCTTATTTCTCCTCCCTGAATGCTATAATTGGCAAGCTCCTCCACGACGGACTTTCTCTTCGCCAGTTTAAACCCTACCTTGATTCCAAGGTAAATTTAATAAGGGACATGGGATGAGAAGATCTTCATCAGCGTAGAAGTCCGCTCTTATTTCTCCTCCTTGAATGCTATAATTGGCAAGCTCTTCCACGACGGACTTTCTCTTTGCCAGTTTAAACCCTACCTTGATTCCAAGGTAAATCTAATAAGGGACATGGGATACCCGGACCTAGCGACGGCTATGGTTGATGACCTTGATCGCTTAGAGCATG